AAAACTACAATAGCATATTTACAGATGAAACTGACCTGCACTTGAAACCAGCAGTCCTAGTTTTGCTTCTCTGCTCCACCTGTGCGCTTCCACAGTCCACTCCATTCTCTCTCTCTCTCTCTCGCGCGCGCGTTGATTACTCTGATCTGATCCAAACCGTTCGGCGGAGGCGCGGAGAGCGCGCGAGCGAAGCATTGCCAGTCACGACTAACCGATTCATGATTTATTAGATTTCATTGTCGAATGGCGAATTCGGAAAGCATCGCTTTAATACATTCGGCAGGCAATTATACAATAATAATATTAAAATAGCGGGCCAAATCGGCTGCCAGGCCACCGGGAATTGTCCCGGTTCTCCCGATGGCCAGTCCGCGCCTGATTTCCACAGACACGCAGAACGTGCAGGATTCATATATTGTCTTTATGAGGCTTAATATTCTCAGACACTAGTCCATATCGCGTTTTGATTCAAGTGTACTGACCTACTTTTGATTTATTCGTCCAAAATGTGGCATATTCCGTCCGCGTTAGGCTATAGGACTTCCGTTTTTATCACTGGATTCTAAACATTTATTTTGTAATTAAATTACGTAACGCCGTTACATGTAACTAGTTACTCCCCAACACTGGTTGTCACTAAATAAAGTATTTATAAATAAAAATAAGTAATTGTTCCACCCTTTTTAATTTGACAGCAAGATCCTCCAATCACACAGCTCCAAATACACCCCATGCGTGGCGTTTTCAGGAAGTGATACTAAATGGAATTTCTGCCTTTCCCCCCACGTGAGCCTCCATCGAAGCACCACGCGCAGCAGGACCGAGCCGGCTGCTAACGGTCGGTCAGTACATCACGTCACTGAGAAGCAGCGGCGGCCGAGCTCTGGACCACAACGTAACTGCCGTACGGACGCGGCGGAGCGGATAATTGTAGTCTGTGAGTACGTTGCAGTAATGTCCGATAACGAAATTGCTTCGAGAAAACGGACCACGTGTTAAAAATAAGATGAAGTGCAGAAGGGTGGTTTCGCGCAAGCGGCGCGTGGCGTGGATGTTCTCGGGCGCGGGAGGGCCGTTTAGCGAGTTAGCGCGTCCAACTATAGTCGCGCTTTTCTCTTCTACTCACAATAAACCTCCTTTAATCAAATCAAACTTCTGTCTTATACCCGGTCGGTCTTTCAGGATTTAAATAGTGAATGATCCGCCCTGAAAAAAACTGCTAATTCAAGCTCTTCGCGCTAGCAGGCTAAAGTTGGATTCTCTTTCTCAGCAGGTCCAGACAGCGCGAGGAAGATGGCGGACGACCCCAGCGCAGCGGACAGGAACGTGGAAATTTGGAAGATTAAGAAGTTGATCAAAAGCCTTGAGGCGGCTAGAGGGTGAGGATCCTCAAGATTTGTTTACAGGTGTTGAATGACAAACAGTAGCACCTCTGATGTGTGATTCGTTTTGTTGTTTGGGGACCACATGCTAACCAGCTTGCCAACAGCTGTTGGAGAGAACAGCACGGTGGACGGAGAACGAGACCGCGCACTGTATAGGTCTTTATTTCGATAATAGTGTTGGTTGAAGGATAAAGAGCGGGAAATGTTATATGGTGTCGTTTGAAATGTGAAGCACCTTCCAGACGACGCCTTAAAGAAAGGTTGGTTGAGGCGACGTGTGTTAAATGAGTGAAACCATGCTAAATATGCTACATGTTTTGTTTCTCTTGTAGTATTTTTAAACGTCATATTAATATCACGGTGTAGTAACATTGTTGTAGTTGAATATTGTCTCATTGTCTAATGGCTTAATAAAACCAGTCGCCTTTGTTAAAGATATAATTCACCCCAAAAATGAATTTTCTGTCTTTTTCTGACAGCCATGTTGATTTAAACCCTCTTTTTTCTTTTTCTTTCAGTGGCACTCCTTTTGTTCCCTCTTTTTTTTCTTTTTTTACAGTGAAACTGAATGGTTAAGCAGATTGACCGCCTCAGTCATCATTTTTTGGTTATGGAACAATGTAAATGAATTTAATGCTGACTCAAAAAATGTTTATAAACAGTTTAGTTGTATCATATATTGACTTGACACTTTAAAGAAAAGTCTCTTGAGCACCAAGCCAGCAATTATTTCTGAAGGATCATGTGGCATTGAAGACTGGAGTAATGGCTGCTGAATATTGAGCTTTTCATTAAAGGAATAAGTTATATTTTAAAATATATTTAATTAGAAAATACATTGTAAATCTGAAAATATTTCACAATATTACTGTTTTTACTGTGTTTTGATCAAATACATGCAGCCTTGGTGAGCATAAGAGACTTTTCAAAAACATAAAAAAAAAAAAATCTAAACTTAAACTGTAACTTGAACGTTAGTGTATGTTAATGAAAGTCTCAGCCTGCTTTTATATTGCTGTTATATTGTTTTCTCCTCAGAAATGGCACCAGTATGATTTCCCTCATCATCCCACCCAAGGATCAGATCTCGCGTGTTGCCAAGATGTTGGCCGACGAGTTCGGCACGGCTTCGAACATCAAGAGCAGAGTCAACAGACTCTCCGTGCTGGGAGCCATTACCTCAGTACAGCAGAGACTCAAACTCTACAACAAAGGTAAATGAGTGGGCTTAGCTTTATCTGAGGCTACGTCCACACGAAGCCAGAGCTTTCCCTATCCGATCTTCTTTTTTTTTCCCCCTCGTCTCAAGAAATACACAAAATCTTGTCCACAAGAAACCACAAAATGATGTAGTATACATGCCAGACCAGTATGTGGCGCTGTAATTCTGCCACAGAGATACACTAAAAACGGAGAAGACTTGGACTATGCGCTAGGGGTTGAACGACTTCTGATTTTTTGAAGTGAACTTTTATGTGATGAAATAGAAGTCGACTAGTCGCTGATGATGTCATTAATGAACAAATAAGCCTGGAGCTGTGATAAACACCTTGTGCACAGCTATGGCATATGACACAGTGCTGCCCACATGGCTGTTGCTCCTATAACAGCTCTTTTATCAGTTCTTTTGTCTTTGGGTCGTTATATTTCTCACAGATTTCTGCTCGTTCTAAATCAGATAGAGATAAAGTAGCACAGTAAAGATTACATTAATATGAATGCATTAGTGAGAGCGATTGCATGTGTGAATTAATTCTACCTGGCAGCATTTCTCTACTAGTAGTGAAGCTGTGGAATTTAGTGGATTTTTATCATTATAGGGTGGTTGTGTACACACACTGCCAACACACATTTATGTCCAAACACCTTGCAAAAGTGAATTTTGCATAATAGGTCCCCTTTAAGACAAAGGAAAATGATTTTCACAAGAAAAAACATTTAAATATGTCATTTTGATGATCAAAGATGAGTTTTAAAGGATACAATTTGACTACAGGGGGACTTTAATAAAAAGACAATCATTCAGTGTTTATTCATGTTTTTGTTGCCATTACGTGACGTAGCGGTGTCTGACTAGGGGCGAGACGTGGGCTGATGACGTCACCGTTTCAGAAAATATACGGATTCGCTGTCCACACGAAAACACAAGGGCGCGTTTTCAAATTTATCCACTCTGGGACTCTGTTTCATTCTCCCAAAACGCCGGATCCGTGTGGACGAAATGCCTATACGATACAAAATGTATGCATATACAGCTAAACGCGTCTCCGTGTGGACGGGGCCTAAGACAGTGGTTCTCAAACCTCTCCATGAAGTACCCCCAGCACTGCACATTTTGTATGTCTCCCTATATCTGACAAACCCACTTCAGATCTTGCAGTCTCCACTAATGAGCTGATGAGTTGAATCAGGTGTGATAGATGAGGGAGACATACAAAATGTGCAGGGCTGGGGGTACTCCAGGACAGGTTTGAGAACCACTGATCTAAGATATTTCACAGCCATTTAACCTCTCAGAAGATTGAATTTTATTGTACTTGGTATGTTTGTCTTTTCCAAAATGGTGCCGTTTAAATATTAAACTGGCAGTTCATACATATTTGCCGTGTATGTTTGGGTACGATTGGGCATTGTTCCTGATTTAATCTTTTCAATAGGTGTGGTCTCTCCTGATCCCCCTCCCATAAGTCTTATATTTATCTTGCAGTGCCTCCTAATGGCCTGGTGGTGTATTGTGGCACCATAGTGACAGAGGAAGGCAAAGAGAAGAAAGTAAACATTGATTTTGAGCCTTTTAAACCAATCAACACATCCTTGTATTTATGTGACAACAAGTTCCATACTGAGGTAAGGTCTATCTATCTATCTATTAGGGTTGTAACGGTACGTGTTTTCGTACCAAACAGTTCACGGGGTAAATTCCAAATGGAAGTGATCATCCCTATGCCCTACTCCCTTCAAAGGGCAGAGCCCTTGGAGTGGAGACTTTGTGCGTGCCATTATGTAGCCATTTGGAATGCACTTGGCAAAGGGAGCGACGGTAATTTCCTCATCTTCAGCTGGCATGTTCCCATGACAACGTAGCACGGTGTCAGTCAGCAGATGTCACTGTTTTAATGGCATAAATACAATATACTGTCTTTTTACGCGTTGCGTTGCATCGCGCTGCGTAAACATAAAACCATGTCTGCATTTGTGATCGGAGAAATGACAAACAACAAGCCCTACTCTACACTGCCCAAAAAACTTGCTTTAAATATAAAAAATATAAAAACTATTTAAATATAAAAAACGTACTTACAGTCCGTGAGTCAGAACAGCCGGCATTGTAGTCTAATCTACCAGGATCAGTAAACATCTGAATATTTGGGTTGAAGTGTTCCGGCGATCGACAGCGCAATTTCCTCAGCAACCAGCACGGATCAGCTCCAGGCATGACGAAGCAGATATCGTCCTCTTTTGGAAGGCCAAACAAAGTAGTTTCGCTTTCACAAAGAAACACTTCACGACATGGCGGCGGCAACAACAATACTACAGCGAGAATAAAAGTCACGCCACCTTTCTTTGCGTGAACATTTGGGCGGCGTTATGCAAATCTTGGGCGTGTTAGAACGAGCCGTTTTAGGTAGGTGTGGCTGACTCTTAACTTTTGTAAAGAATATCTCTTTGGATTTGAGACTTTAGTCTTTGCAACTTTACAGATCTTCTTTATGCACCAAGAGCTTGTAACACTCCAAAGAGAAAGGAAAAATTGGTCGCATCATATGGCCCCTTTAAGCAAAAATATCACGGTATTGTTGTTACAGCTCTAAAATGTTATTTTTTAAATGACTGGGTAAAAAAAAAACTTTCCGCTGAACACAATATATTTTGTTTTTGAGCAACATACAGAATATTAGGAACAGTAGAATTTGTTTATTTTTTCTTTGATTTGTTTCCTAAAGAAAATAAAAATAAAGACTGAAATCTTAGGTTTATTTAACCTAAATCTGTAATTACAGTTATTTAATTTTAGTTATATCATTCATATACATATTTATATAATTTCATATCATTTAGTTATATCATTTCATATATATAATTTGATTAAATAATAACCCAATTTGAAGCAAAATCAGAATGTTCTGACTAGTTTTGTGAAATTATACTACATGCCTGAATGAAACAAACAGCAGACGAGCTGAATGATATGCAGATTCACTCTCTGACAGCAGGAGGCGCTTCTGGAACACTAGATACAGCGTTTCCTTGGTTACCGCTGTAAACAAAGCAGGGCGCTGAAACACTGCTTTAATATGAACTATACAGAGACGAGATGAAAAGAAAATACCACTTAAACTTTTCTGAAGACAGTCTGTTCCCCTCCGAAACACATTCATATAAACCGCCAAATCAATATTGAGGATTTTCTTCCAATAATTCGTGCATCATGAACAGTGATCTGCCTGCTACGGTGTTTTTCTCTCTGCGTCTGTCTTCAGCGTCTCTGGCCTATGTTAACGGGCATTTACAGACTTCATATTTTCACATAAATGACATTTTGGAAAATGATTGCATTGCAACGCAGTTTGTGCAAGTCCAGAACAGAGACGAGCTGCAATAAGAAAAAACGGCTGGTTGCCGATCGCGTAAGTTCCAGGGGAAGCTCCTTAAGTTCGGCCATCCTACACACACGTGACCAGTGTTGGGGGTAACGCATTACAAGTAACGCGAGTTACGTAATCAGATTACTTTTTTCAAGTAACTAGTAAAGTAACGCATTACTTTTATAATATACAAGAAAATATCGGAGGTACTTTTTCAAATAAGTAACGCCAGTTACTTTTTTTTTCCCATTTATTGATTGAAAGCTCTCCTGTCCCCTTGTTGAGAGAAATCGGGAGTAAGATGTTACTTTGAGTGAGATGAATTAATGCACGTTCACATTTATTGTAGAACTACTCACAAAAAAACAAAACAGATTTAGTTTTCCTCAAAATTAATAAAAACAGTTAAAAGCAACTCAGAATATGACTCAAAGCTGCAATAATTAAATGTTAAATAATACAAATGTCCTTTATGTATTTAATCTCATTTTATTAACCAATTTGCTGCTGACCTTTGATGATCCAATTCAACCATACTAATAAGCAAAAATTACACAATATAAACTAACATTTCTTCTTTTTTTATTGCTGAAGAGCAAATAAAATTCAACAAACTTTCTTCTTCTGCATTCTACTGTACAGACGTGAATTTACATTTCCTTCATCCTGAGGCTTTTGGTGTGAAAGGGCTTTTACATTTGCCAAAAATAGAACTTTTTATTTTAAAAGCAAGCCCAGCCCAGATTTAAGAAGTAACGCAAAAGTAACGTAATGCATTACTTTCAATAAAAAGTAACTAAGTAACGTAATTAGTTACTTTTTTAGGAAGTAACGCAATATTGTAATGCATTACTTTTAAAAGTAACTTTCCCCAACACTGCACGTGACTGACTGCTCGCACCAACAGGAGGAGGAGGGTCGTGTTACTCTCTACACTGCACTCAACCTGAGGGATTCCTGCACTTTTCAGTCTTTGAGGAGACATGAAAAACAGCGCATACCGCAGGAACGGTATAACGGAAAATATTACTGGTTTTGAAACCCTGACATTTTCAAATCGCGGTATACCTTGAAACCGGTAATCAGCCCATGCCTATTGTTAGCATAACTGTTGCAAATAAACATACATTTTATATTTTAAAAAGTTACATATATAGCATATTTTAAAAACTTTTTAAAATATAAAATGTATGTTTTTTGCAACAGTTATGCTAATAACAATAAAGACTTTTATGCCATTAAAACAGCGACATCTGCTGACTGACACTGTGCTGCGTTGTCATGGTAACATGCCAGCTGAAGGTAATGAGGAAATTACGTCGCTCCCTTTGCCAAGTGCATTCCAAATGACTACATAATGGCACGCATGTGCCCTGCTCATTCCAAAGTCTCCACTCCAAGGGCTCTGCCCTTCGAAGGGAGTAGGGAATAGGGATGATCACTTGCATTTGAAATTTATACCCTGTGAACCGCTCTGTATGAAAACACGTACCGTTACATCCTATGTATCTATCTAAAACATTGTAACACTTAATATAATTTTTATATCCACAGGCTCTAACAGCTCTGTTGTCAGACGACAGCAAGTTCGGCTTCATTGTGATTGATGGTAGTTTTGTGACATAAACCTGGGCTTTGGTGTTTTTTGTTTTTTTTTCTGGTGTGGTGACCTTTGTCTCTGATTTCAGGCCGATACTTTGATGAGATCAGTCAGGACACAGGGAAGTATTGTTTTGGAGTTGAAGACACACTCAAAGCGCTGGAGATGGGAGCGGTGGAGATTCTTATAGTTTACGAGAACCTGGACACTATGCGTTATGTCCTACGCTGTCATGGAGAAAATACTACACCAGAAAATGGTATACACACCCTAAAGTCTCATACGCACAATTTCACATTAGCAAAATATAAAAGAAGTTCGGCTTCATTGTGATTGATGGTAGTGGCGCCCTGTTTGGGACTTTACAAGGCAACGCAAGGGAGGTGTTGCACAAATTTACTGTGGACCTGCCCAAAAAACACGGTAAACATCTTCAAATCGCTTGCTGTGGCTATTTTCGTTCTTTGTAGAATTTAGTATTTACACGTTTGTTTCCTTTAACTCTAGGTAGAGGAGGACAGTCTGCTCTTCGATTTGCACGTTTGAGGATGGAGAAGAGACATAACTATGTGCGTAAGGTAGCAGAGACGGCGGTGCAACTCTTCGTGTCCAATGACAAGGTCAACGTGGCAGGAAAGTTGGAATCAGATGAAAAGATACTCTATCTGACACCGGAACAGGAGAAGGACAAGTCTCATTTCACTGACAAGGAGGTAAGTGAAACCACGTCAACCAAATTAAGATTACATAAGATTCAGCAGATCTTATTTATTGTGGAATGTAATGAAGCTCCAATGGCTGTAACTCCTTCCCCCGAATGACTTTCTTGTGGCGTTAAGTGCCATACTCAAACAACCAATGATGTTCTCATGGCCTGAAATCAGATCAGCAGCCTATAGGTTTGAAACACTTGATCTTTAGGCTATCATCAGCCCATTAGTACCAAGCTCATTGCAGTTCTGTTTTGATTTATCAGAATCATACATTGCAGGTCCTAAGACTGCATTGAATATCTAGGATTCAAATGTCAAATGCTTAAAAATAGAGATCTGAAATTAGTCCTTTATGATCCAGATGTTCTTGGATCTTTTTGGATCATCCTCAAATCCTGGTGAGGAACATGATCTTCAGGTTTCACACAATCTCGTGGAGTTCATGCAGCTGTTTGAGGATGGAGAAGAGACATAACTATGTGCGTAAGGTAGCAGAGACGGCTGTGCAACTCTTCGTGTCCAATGACAAGGTCAACGTGGCAGGACTGGTTCTTGCCGGATCTGCCGACTTCAAGACGGAGCTCAGCCAGTCAGACATGTTTGATCCGGTATGTTCTCTTTGCAGCAAATTATTTGCAATCTTAATTCATCATTCTGCTTGTTTTATGATTTGGTTCTTCTGCACATGTAGAGGTTACAAGCGAAGGTTCTGAAGCTGGTTGACATATCGTATGGAGGAGAGAACGGTTTCAACCAGGCCATTGAGCTTTCAGCAGAAGTGCTGTCCAATGTCAAGTTCATCCAAGAAAAGAAACTAATAGGTAGTTAATTTACAGGCTTTAGAAAGGCAGTGGACATGCTGGATACATTTTTTGTTGCATAAAACACTGGGCTTTCAGTAGTTTTATAAATAAATATATATTTATTTATTTTTTATTTATTTTTTATTTTTTTATATATATATTTCTCATGGCCTGAAATCAGATCAGCAGCCTATAGGTTTGAAACACTTGATCTTTAGGCTATCATCAGCCCATTAGTACCAAGCTCATTGCAGTTCTGTTTTGATTTATCAGAATCATACATTGCAGGTCCTAAGACTGCATTGAATATCTAGGATTCAAATGTCAAATGCTTAAAAATAGAGATCTGAAATTAGTCCTTTATGATCCAGATGTTCTTGGATCTTTTTGGATCATCCTCAAATCCTGGTGAGGAACATGATCTTCAGGTTTCACACAATCTCGTGGAGTTCATGCAGCTCATTAAAGGAGTAGTTCACTTCCAGAATGAAAATTCTGTCATCATTTACTCATCCTCCACTTGTTCCAAACCTGTATGAGTTTCTTTCTTCTGTTGAACACAAAAGAAGATATTTAGAAAAATGTTAGTATCTGAACAGTTGATGGGCACCAAACATGTTTTAATCATCTGAAGAAACTTTTTCCATTATAAAGAACTTTTTGTGCATTGGAATTGTTCCATGGATCTTGAAGAAGGTTCTTGTAACCATTGATGCCAATAAAGAACCTTTATTTTTAGTGTAGAGCATTCTGAATTTTTGTTAAATTCAACATTTCCTTTTTTGTTTTGCTTAGAATTTCTAAAGTAGAAAAAAATTCATTGCTAAGAGATTGCACCTTTTGCATTATGCTTGCTTTTCACTTTAGCCAATGTATGGTTCAGGCAGGAGGTGTATAATGTTAACAGTACCGTATGTGCTTGTTTTAGACTGGTCAGGAGCATGAGCTGATTGAGAGCATGCCGCTGCTAGAGTGGTTCGCCAACAACTACAAGAAGTTTGGGGCCACGCTGGAAATCGTTACAGACAAAAGCCAGGAGGGTTCACAGTTTGTGAAAGGCTTTGGAGGCATCGGTGGTAAGTGCTTTCTACAGATTACGATTTGTAGGGAAATGGAAAGATATTGTTATATCAATATCTGCAATCAATATCTTTTTCTTTTACTTCAGGAATCTTGCGGTACCGGGTGGACTTCCAAGGCATGGAATACCAGGGAGGTGATGATGAGTTCTTTGATTTAGATGACTACTAGGTAGTCGGGACTGACACAAAATTCAAATACAAGATTTTCCCCCTTCACCTACCCCGCAAACGGCAGGGGAGCGAAGGAGATCCAATCAGCAGGAGGGAGAATAAGAATTTGAGAGGATGGCGGATGGTCTGTGTGTCCCTGGCTTTAGAATACAGCGACTCCATCTCTGGACTGGAAGAGACTGAGTTTTCTCCTCTTCACTAATTACCAGGTCATCGCAACAGCATGGCCATGGCCCGTCTGCCTGTACGCGGACATCGCCCATTTGCCGCACGTTTTGTTTATTTGACAGCCAATGGGAGAATTCGACACAAGCCTACATTCTCCGCCTCCTTTCGTGACGCGTTGTGTCGCAGGGCGGGGTTTCCATTTTCACTGCGAGTTTCGGGGAACAAACATGGAGCCGGAGATGGAGGACAAAACCTTAGAGCTGATGGTGAGTACTCGGGTGTGCTTTGAAAATCATTTTGTAGTATGTTCGCAAGTGTTTAGAAATCCATATTAGCGGTTATAAGGGCAGCCTGGTTGAATATAACCAGCTTGTGGAGTGGGTTGGGATCGTCTGAGTTGAGAGGAGAAGGAGGGGTGAGGAGAACGAGCGAGCGACCGAGAGAGAAATGGCTGGCTCGGCTGACAGGGAGGGCCCTGCTGTGTATCGCTGGCTCACTTAGTCGTTTTCACGTCTCTTGCTTGTTTCTTCCCCTTGAAACAACAGCTGAGACGTTAATAGACAAGGCGAACAGTTGTTCTCGGTGGGAACTCGGGATATTTATTGAGCTAGTCGTGAAGGCGGAGGAAGGGAAGCTGCCGCGGCATCGTGGTGAGTCCGACTCTCATCGACTTTAGCCGGTGCCTTGAGCTTCACTGCGGCGCCTCTGCGCCACTCAATCCTGCCTATAATTTGGTTCCACAGACGAGTTGTGGTTCATATAAAGTCTCAGAACACTTAACTATGTTTTAAAGTGTTTAAAATATTCATGTCTCATTAACAATAACGCAACATTTACTTCTCAGGGCACATTTTAACTGGACTTTAAAGCTGCGTAATAGGAAGTAAACGCTTGTGTTGTCAATTTCAAATGACGTTTCTGAGCCGAACGATGAGCGAATATACAAATATCGTCAACTAATACAACAATCGTGTTTGGATGAGTGAATATTTGTGTTTTTGTAACCACACACTTTTTTTTTGTGAAATACAAACGTTCATTGTTGATGTGAAAGCAGCATTTATAGCAAGCGGCTAGGTGGCTAACCACATCAAACCATTAGCCTACGCGAACTAATTACGATATTTTCTTATTAAACGCACTGTTTTTTCTTTCACACTTTTCTGAACAGTAATTCTGTGAAAGACTTACAATAAAAATAAGCTAAATTCCTCAAAAATGATCTTTTACTACTTAAACACGCAGCTTTTGATATAATTTTTTTAAACTTGATTTGCATGTGCAGTCTCATTATTAATTTTGAATATAATATTGCTATTCTTAATTTGAAACATTTTTATAGTATCTTTAAAAATAAAAGTGTATGACTTGTTTAAATGTGCTCTTAATTAATAAGGCTGTGTCTGAATCAATATCTCTCCTAGTCAATACAATAACATTATAGAATCAGTTTTGCAGAGTGGATTTGCTTCTTGTTGCCATGGATACTGTGAAAAGGGTAGGAGTGAAGGCACTCGAGTTTGTCTGCTTGTATTGTGAAGCTTGTGGAAGATAGATAAATGGCTTTTGCTTGTAGATGATAAGCAATGTGGATTTGTGTATAGACTGCAGAGCAGTGTTGCCAATTTAGCAATTTTGTAGCTAGATGTAGCGACTTCCCCACCCCTTTTGAGACTTTTTTTTTCTTTCAAAAGTTTAGGGACAAATATAGCAACTTCTTGGACAAACCTTATCCAAGTTCTCATGTTGCCCGCTGATCTATATTCATCTTTATATAGATCAGTGAATTTGCCATTATAATGTAATCTAGTGACATTTAGCTACCAGTTTTAGCTACTTTCAATTGAAAGCAGTTGGCAACACTGATCCAGAGGCTCATAATAAATCTACACTTCCTGCTCTGCTGGTGGTTTGAAATGATTAATCCCAGACTTTGTCATCATTATTTGTTTTTCAGGTTGTTTCATTTAGTCTAACTTACTAAAGTACTAAAAGCAACTACAGCTAAAACTGAAATAACTAAAACTTTGTAGAAAAAAATAATAAAAATGAAAACGACACTCAAACACATGCTAAAATGTTAACAAAAATTAATAAAGAAGAAAAAAAAACTTTTATATTAATAAAAAAGTCTAATACTCTCTCAGTGTTGCTTAAAAAACACTGGTGTCAGTGTCTAGCTTCAGTATCTCTTTATTTAGTCCAGAGAGCCTAAGTTTCTAAAGAGTTCGGCTGGTATTAATGGTAAGAACCGTGATTACGAATGAAAGCAGGTGCTGAGTTGTGGATATTAAGAGCAACGATATGGATGGCATCATCGCTATCGTGGCTGTATTTGGGATGTAAGCATATCCTTGTGGTGGCCTTGGCTAGGGGACAGCTGTTGACACGTTACCCAAACGCCTGCATGCCCTGCCCGATCCCACATCTTTGCCGCATGCTGATGGAGAATATGTCCAATTATTCAGCACACAGATCGTAGGCTGGTGTTCAGTCCTTTCATCTGCTTTCCAAGAAACAATGCAATGTGATTATGAACGTATACGAGCAGATGATGAAAGGGTCGTCTTGTGTAGGTTATGAATATGAGTGGTTCTGATTGATATTGTGGTCCTTTCTTTGAATTTGTTATTTAGTTTCATTTAAAGCAGACATTACTATTGATTTATAAAAAAAATAATAATAATATGCTATTTCTTTTGCAGAACATCTCTGTCATGGACTCGCAGACTGCAGACCGCTCCCCAAAGATCACAGTGATTAAGGTGAGGTGGGCGAGCTGTACCTCAGTGAAGTGCGTCAAAGTCTGATAAAATAATAAACAGATACAACAATAAGGATCTGTTGAGTAGCCTCTCCCGGACTATGCAGGATGTTCTATATTGAAGTACTGTTGACTTAGGGGTTTGTTGTAGGGCACGGCCTAATCTGCGCCTGGAAAATCTCAGTGTCCATTTCCGCAGACTTTTATTTAATTTTTTCTGTATTTAGGTTTCCTCTTGCATTTTTTTTAGATGTCCTGGATAATTACATTGGCCCCAACTTATCTGGACACTTGCACTACTATTTGGTGTGGGCTAGATTTTGTAATGTTTTTGAAGTCTGTTGTGCTCAGCTTGGTTTCATTTATTTGATCAAAAATACAGTAAAACGGTAATAATGTGATCCTTCAGAAATCATTCTAATATGCTGCTTTGCTGCTCAATAAACATTTCTGATTATTATCAGTGCTAAAACAGTTGTGCTGCCTGATATTTTTGTGGAAACTGTGAAACGGTGAAAGTTTGGGGTAGGTAAGATTCAATAAAATAAATAACAATAAAATAGTAAACAAG